AGCAAAGATGTCTCCTTGAGGACTAAGGTGCACGTGACACAAGCCATGGTATTTTCAATCACCTCATATGCATGTGAGAGCTGGACAATGAATAAGGAGGACCGAAGAAGAGCTGATGCTTTTGAGCTGTGGTGTTGGCGAAGAATGCTGAACCTACCATGGACTACTAAAAGAACAAATAGGTCTGTCCTGGAGGAACCGCAGCAAGAATGCTCCTTGGGAGGTGAGAATGTATATATGACTTTGTCTCATATACTTTGGTCATGTTGTCAGAAGGGGCCATTCCCTGGAGAAGTATGTCATTCTTGGTAAGATGGAGGGTCAAAGAAAGAGGGGAAGGCCCTCAATGAGATGGATTGACATGGCTGCAGCGGCAATGGGCTCAAGTATAGCAAGAATCATAGGGCTGGCTCGGGACCAGGTGGTGTTTTGTTCTGCTGTGCATAGGGTCACTATGAGTCAGAGACAACTTGATGGCACCTAACAACTACAACAATGAAAACATTTGGAGGTTGTTGGTTAACAGGAGATGGACTGTATTTATCCTGTCTGACCTTAGTCACTACAAATGCCAGTGACCACAGAGCACACTTAGAATATACCAAAGTGTTCTGAAAGACAGAAAAACTGCATTATGTCCAACAACCCTCTTTCTGTTGCATTCTTATTCCAGCTTCTGTGAAATCTAGGTATAAAATTATATTACCACTTAACATTCCATGAAAGACAGGGACAATATTAAAAAGGAGTTAATAAATGTCTGTTTAATTATAAATAAATCAGCTAATAATAATGGTAACTATATGTAATTATAAAACAATGGCACATTACATTTTTTATTCTTAGCCTCCTAACCCTATAGTTTAACCTCATTTAACTCAATAAAAGAATTATTCTCTTGGAAGATGTATTAAAGCCTTCCAGCTCACCAGACAGCACAGTATCATAGTAACTGGATGACTGGTATATTAAAAAGCCTAAATAGTTTGCACAAGTTGCTGTCGAGTCAATTTCAACCCACAGCAGCCCCATGTGTGTGAGAGTAGAACTGTGCTCCTTAGAGTTTTCAGCAACTGATATTTTGGAAGTAGATTGCCAGGCCTTTCCTCTGAGGTATCTCTGGGTAGACTTGAGTATCAAACTTTTAGTTAGTAGCCAAGTGTGTATGTGCCACCTAGGAATTCCCCAAATAGTTTAAAGTTAACTCCCAAAAGTACCTGACTCCCAAAGAGCAAAATTATACACTTGAAAATGACAAAGTATCATTCTTATATACCATAGCTGGATGATTTGAATAATTAAGAGAAAGTGTCCTTGGGAAAATAAAAAGGGAATTAACAAGCAAAACAAAATAGTTTCATATAGTTTCAAATTTTATTTTCATAATTATTTTCCTATAGAAGCAATAATAGGGATTCCCATTACATTCAATATTCTTATTACAGAGATGGAACAAATAGAAATTAAGCACAGATTTCATCACAAACACCATATTCTGCATATGTATAAATAAATTCAATATATTAAATATATTTTGCAGTCCAACTTCACTTACAATATAACAGAACATTGAATATTAGATTCTGAGCATATTCATGCAGACTTCCACTTTTGTGAAAATGATGATGCTAGAGTTCCAGAAAACATTTTTTCCTGTTTTGTTAACATCAAACTTTCCACTTCTGACTATATTCTCAAGCTGAAAGATTTATGTAGGGGAAAAAATAAAATGCAAGAAATGTGTAACATATTTTTTTCACTAGATACCACATAGAATAACCCTGCCATCAAAGAAATAGCCACACAAGTACTGCATTATTAGTTCATAAATATGGGTCAGGTGGATGTGTAGGAGGCTGTACCTGTGTAAAGCCATTTGTTGTTTAAGGCTCAGTTGCATTACGGCTATGGAATGCACTATTTGTTTTTTTTCCCCGGTATGTAAGAAAAGAAGAATAAAACTAAAAACATTTCTCCAAAGGTATAATGGGTTATTAGTTAATCCAAGTGAGCACTTACCTAAGACTCTACAAGCTTCTGATAAAGTTTAAAGGGGACAGCAGCAATGATGGGATCTTTGAAATATAACGTCTTTAAATACAAATGCTGAATACAGCTTTAATACAGGTATCTTCAATAAAGATATCTCGATCCAAGCATACCTTCCAAATGAGGATGTTGTTCTGTATAAGCTCTCCCATAGAACCAATTGTGACTAAAACCACTTAAAATAAACAACTTTAGTGTGTTTCAGAAGTCTACCAAAACCAACTAAGCATACTACACTCAAATAAAATACAATGAAGTCAAGTCAGATGGAACATAATTAAGGAGGAAACAACTTGCATCTGCCTTCAGAAAAACACATAGCCAGTGTCTAGAGTATCTTTCCAATTAATAGATTATGAGATGGGTCTAAGCCATACAGGTTGAAAAAGGAATCCATCAAAAATAACATTTTTTGCAAATTACTAAAACATTAAACAATTGCAGCACAATTTTCAATATATGGCTTCCAAAAACAATGTTTCCTTTTAATCTAAATTTTTGCAGGTTATTGTCAAGTATAATAGTTACAACTCTAAATAAACTAGAAATTATTTTGGAGGAAAGAAATGTATGTATCAGGATTGATGGGGACATTATCTCTTTTTTTTTTAATTAGGATTTGGGTGAAGATTTACAGAGTAAATTCACTTTTCATACAGCAGTTCACATATACTTGTCTCATGTCATTGACCAAAATTTACAATGCAGCAGCTCCCCTCCCACTTCCTCCCCATAGTTACCTCCTCCCAGTGTCCATCCCTTCATACTCTTCTGCACCCTGAGCTATCTCCCTGTGCATAAGCAGCCCTTCCTTCTCCCATGATTGTTCTCTCCAGGGCGTGTGTCTACCTGAGGTAAATGTTTAACTCACATGCCGGTACTTTGTTTGGCTGGAAACCACAGTTGTGGGTTCAATTCCAGACCTGAAGGGCAGCTAGGGGCCATAGTCTCAGTGGTTACACCAGGCTCTATTGGACCAGCAAACCTGGCGGGGACATTATCTCTTTCATAGCTTCCAATTACTCAAGAACCAAGTGAGTTTGGAGAGTCACTTTGCTGTTTTAGATGAAAGAAATACCTTGAACTGAAGCCATTTACAAAATGATTTAATAAGCTACCTTCAAATTTTACAAGCTCACATATCTTTAATGCATTTTTTTTACTGGGCTAAATAATATTTTAAGGGTCAAAATAGCTTCTTGTTCTAATCTTACCTTTGAAAAGATTTAATAGTTTAAATGCATGTACTATATCAGTGTACCAACTTCCTTTTCAAAACCAAAAAAATTTTTATAATGCTTACTTTCTGGCAGTAACTTTACTTTTAGCAGCAATTATGAAATTTCTCCAGCAATGTATTATTAGAGCCCAACAAAATAGAGTAACTATGTCTATTGCTCCATTTATATAATTAGTCTAGAACTTGGTTCACAAAGTTGAAAACCAACTGCATTCAAACATGACAGTACATTTTCTGTTTTATTTCCTGCTGGTGTCTTAACAAACTTCTGTCATGAAAAAAAAAAAAAAAAATCTTCATAGGTGGTAGATAAAGATGGCTGATTTGAGTAAATGGTAACTACAAATTAGTCTTTATTAGCATTCAAATAATGACTGTAATGAAGTATGGAATAGCCAAGGTTCCAAGTTCATGAAATGGCATGTCAGAATTTTTCCTTTACTTTTTCATCTTTTTTATAAAGTAAAATGCTAACACAGTCCTCCTGAGTACTCATCTTCCTCTTCCTCACCGGCTGTGGTGGTAGAGCCGTCAGGCTTGGCCTGTGGTGTTGCTGGTGATTTCTTCTTGATTCCCCCTCCTGGAACCACCAAACTCAGGCCCAATTTAGCATACTGCCAATGATAAAACATATTCTTAGAACCTGGATAATGAGAAGCCCAATATGAGATGTCTCAACAATTATCTATAAAATACAGGTCCTAGGCCTTTCTACTCAGGAGCTCTGGTAGCGTAGTGCCTAAGACACTTGACTGCTAACCAGAAGGCTGGTAGTTCAAACCCGCCAGCCACTCCTCGGAAGGAAGGTTGGGCAATCTACTTCCATAGTGATACCGGCTCAGAAACTCAAGGAGGGGTTGCTATGAGATGGGGCTAACTCGATGGCACATAACAACAACAACATTTAACAATTTATCCAGAAAAAATGTCTCCTCTACAGACATTATGAAAAACTGGTCTGCTTCCATGATGAGACTGCAGAGCTGCAACAACAAATCAGTAAGTGCTCACAAATATACTGAAAAACAGAAATAAGAACAGAAACTCTTATCTACTGCTTACTTTATGTACAAGGCATCATGTTTCTCATACATTGACTAATCTATTCTTCACAACTGTTCTGCAATACAGGTTCCAATTTTACAGATAAATTAACTGAGGCTTAGAGATATTTAATTAACCTGCATCCACAGTAGCTGTCACAGAAGTGGGATTCTAGCAAGTCTATTTAATTGCAAAGGCTTCTACATAATGGACCTCTTTCAGACAGTAAGCACAAAAGAAAGTTCATACACTAAAAACTGATTAGTTGAGAACCTACTGAACCTATACAGGGCAAGAAGATAGGAGGAGCTGAGAAGAAAGAAATGGGCTGCATTTATAAATATGCATATGGTCAATCCAGTTAGAAAGATCTGTTGTTAACCTATGTAGTTACATCCAAATAACCTAAACTTACGGTGAAATGCAATGGAAATGGTTCCTTTTTGAATAGTAGAGCTTGTAGTGAAAAACAGACACAGAAAATTTCAAAATTACAAGGAAGAAAAATAATCTTACTAAAAGACTCTTCAAGAGGAAATAAGAAAAGTAACCAAAAAGGTTGACTTACATCATTATCCATGTATTTGAAAAGTGGAGAGTTGCAGACCTCTGACACTTGATCTTGGTCTTGCTGGTCATATCCTTCAAGAAGCTGTTCTAGTGCAGCACAGTCTTCACTTCCATTGAACCCTGGTATGCTACAATAAACACAATTCACACTTTTTTTTTTTCTTTTTAAAATTTTATTGTGATTTGGGTGAAAGTTTACAGACCCAATTAAATTTCCATACAGCAGCTCAAAAAACTTTGTCTCCTGACATTGACTATCATTTCCCACAATGCAACAGCTCCCCCTCCAACTTCCTCCTCATAGTTACCTCTTCCCTGTGTTCTTCCCTCTCCAGCACTCCTGCCCCCAAGCTGTCTCCTTGTACATACACAGCCTTTCTATTCTCTCATGATTGATCTCTCCAAGGAGGGTATCTATCTAATGTAAATGTTCAGCTCATTTGCTTGTTTTTTGTTTGGCTGGAAGACACAGGAATGGGTTCAATTTTAGACCTGAAGGGCAGCTAGGAGCCACAGTCTCAGTGGCTCCATCAGACTCCACCAGACCAGCAAACTGGTCCCTCTTTTTTTTCCAAATGATTTTGAGTTTTGTTCCACATTTTTCTCCCATTCTATCCAGGATCTCCTACAGAGATCCCGTTCCAAATGGATGAAAGTGGTAGCCGGGTACCATCTAGTTCTACTGGTCTCATTGTCATACAGGCTGAGGAACTAATGGTGTACCAGTCACCTGGACTAATTGTTTTCACGTGTCTTTGGTTTTCTTCATTCTTCTTTGCTCTGGATGAGAAGAGACTCATCACTGCAACTAGATGGCCGCTTGCAAGCTTTTAAGATCCCAGTCGCTACACACCAAAGTAGTATGTGGAACAATGTTTTGGGTAGCATGTTATGGCAATTTAGCTCGATGCCCCTGTGACTATGGTCCCAAGTCCACAGGTCCAACTACTCACTGCCTCTGGGTAGATGGCTATGGCCAAGAAGTGATTACAACTTTCCACCTCGTCAGCTCTACCATATACCTGGCAATTCTTACAGAACATCCAAATACACCTGTAGAAACACTGTCTGCCAACCCTATACATGGTTTTGGGCACACTCCCCCCTGCATGGACACTGTCCACCCATCTATCCAACTGTAGATCAATGACTGCCTTCACTGACAACATAGTATTGTATATGCAAAAGGGTTCATCTTTGTTGTCTGTACCTCACATGCACTCTCTCTTTCTCTTCCTCATTGCCACTGTATTGATCACTCACATTTGGTACCTTGCCCTTTTCTTCACCCAAATCAATACTTGTCTCTACCTATCTGACAGTGTTCTCACCCTTCCCCTCCCACCCCTGGAAACCAACAAAGAAAATTTCCTTCCAAATATAAACCTTTCCTTCACTTTTTACAATAACAGACTAATACAATATTTGTCCTTCGGTAATTGACTTATTTCACTCAGCATAATGACCTCCAAGTTTATCCATGCTATGCGGTCTTTTACAGATTCTACATTACTCTTTAAGGTTGTGTAGTATTTCATTGTGTGTATGTTCCATAGTTTGGTTATCCATTCTTCTGTAGATGGGCACCAGGTTGTTTCCATCCTTCTGCTATTGTGACTAGTGCTGCAACGAACATGGGTGTGCATATACCTGTTCTTGTCCTTGCTCTCACTTCTTTAGGATATATACCTAGTAATGCAATGGCTGGGTCCAATGGTATTTCCAATTCCAACTTTTTAAGCACCTGCCAAAGTGCTTTCTATAGTGGTTGTATCATCTGACAGTCCCACCAGCAGTATATCAAAGTCCCAATCTCTCCACATCCTTGCCAGCATTTGTTATTTTCTGTCTCGCTGAACTTTGCTACTAGTGCTGGAGCAAGATGGTATCTCATTGTTGTTTTGATTTGCATCACTCTAATGGCTAATCGGAAACCCAAGGAGGGGTCGCTATGAGTCGGGGCTGACTCGACGGCAAATAACAACAACAACAACAATGGCTAATGATCATGAGCATTTCTTCATATGTCTGTTGGCTGCCTGAATATCCTCTTTGGTGAAGTGTCTATTCATGTCTTCAGCCCATTTTTTAATTGGATTATTTGTCTTTTTGTTGCTGAGGTGTTGGAGTTTGCTATAAATTCTAAAGATAAGTCCCTTGTCAGATATGTCACTGCTGAATATTTTTTCCTAATCTATAGGTTCTCTTTTGACTCTTTTGGAGAAGTCTTTGGAAGTACATAAAAATTTAATTTTTAGAAGGTCCCATTCATCTAGTTTCTCTTCTGCTGTTTGTGCATTACACTTGATAGTCTATTTATGCCAAATATATTAGGGCCCCTAAATTTGCCCCTAATTTTTCCTTGAGGAACTCTATAGTTGTAGGTTTCACATTTAAGTCTTTGATCCATCCGGAGTTAGTTTTTGTGTATGGTGTGAGGTACAGATCTTGTTTCATCTTTCTTTAAATGGATATCCAATTTTGCCAGCACCATTTATTAAAGACATTCTCTTCCCCATTTAATGGATTTTGGACCTGTGCCAAAGATCAGCTGACTACAGGTCTATGGATCTATTTCTGGGTTCTCAATTCTATTCCATTGGTCTATGTGTCTGTCATTATACCAATACCAGGCAGTTTTAACTACTGTGACTGTATTGTAGGTTTTGAGAACTGGTAGCATGAGACCTCCTACTCTGTTCTTCTTCAATAGTTCTTTCCTCCCATATAAAAGTTAGTGACTGGTTTTTCCATATCGTTAAAGAATGTTGATGGGATCTGGATTGGGATTGCATTGAAGGTACAGATTGCTTTGGGTAGAATTGACATTTTCACAATGTTCAATCTTCCTATCCATGAGCATGGTATGTTCTTCCATTGATGTAATCTCTTATGGTTTCCTGAAGTAGTCTTTTATAGTTTTCTTTGTACAGGTCTTTTGTGTCCCTGCTAAGAATTATTCCCAAGTATTTTATCTTTTTTGGTAGCTATTACAGTTCAAATCCACCAGCCACTCCTCAGAAGGCAGGCTGGGCAATCTACTTCCGTAGTGATACTGTCTTGGAAACCCAAGGAGGGGTCTCTATGAGTCAGATCCAACTCGATGGCAGTAGGTAGGTAGGTAGGTCTATTGTAAATGGTATTGATTTCCTTTATTTCTTTTTCAGCAATCTCTTTGCTGGGGTAGAGGAATCCAACTGATTTTTGGCTGTTGATCTTGTATCCTACCATGATGCTTTATCTCTCAATTAGTTCCAGTAAATTTTTGACTGAGTCTCTTGGGTTTCTAGGTACAGGATCATATCATCAACAAACAGGAATAGTTTGATTTCTTCCTTAGCAATTTGGATGTCCTTGATTTCCCTTTCTTGCCTTATTGCCATGGCTAGGACTTCTAATAAAATGTTGAAGAGAAGTGGTGATAGAGGCATCCTTGTCTGGTTCCTGTTTGCAAGGGGAATGGTTTCAGTCTCGAACCACTGAGAATAATGTTGGCTGTTGGTTTTGCATATATGCCCTTTATTTTGTTGAGGAATGTCCCTTCTATTCCTATTTTGCTAAGGGTTTTGATCAAGAATGGGTGTTGGATTTCACCAAATGCCTTTTCTGCAATGATTGATATGATCACGTGGTTCTTTTCCTTTGTTTTATTTATGTGTTGGATGACACTGGTTGCTGTTCTCATGTGGATCCATTCTTGCATACCTGGTATGAACCCCACTTTGTCATAATGTATTATTTTTTTGATATGTTGTTGGACTTTACTGGCTAGTATTTTGTTAAAGATTTTTGCATGTATATATTCAGGTATACTGGCCTGCAGTTTTCCTTTTTAGGGACTTCTTTGCCTGGTTTCGGTATCAAGGTCATGCTTGCTTCATAAAATGAATTTTGGAGGATTCCATCCTTTTCTATGTTCTGGAAGAGTTTGAGTAGGATTGGTGTCAGTTCATTTCTCAATGTTTGGTAGAATTATCCAGTGAAACTGTCTGGGTCAGAGCTTTTTGTTGTTTTTAATTTTTTTTATAACCTGTTCAATTTCTTCTTTTGCTAGGGATCTGTTTAACTTTTCCACATCAGTCTGTGATAATTTAGCTAAGTAGTATGTTTCTAGAAATCTGTCCATTTCTTCCAGATTTTCAAGTTTGTTGGAGTACAGTTCTTCACAGTATCCTGACATGCTTTTTACTTCAACTGGGTCTGTTGTGATGTCACCCATTTCATTTCTTATTCGTGTTATTTGTATTCTCTCCCTCTTTTCTTGTGTTAAACTTGCCAGTGGCTTGTCAATTTTACTAATCTTCAAAAAAAACAACTTTTATTCTTGTTGATTTTTTTTCTATTGTCTTTCTACTTTCTGTTTCATTTATTTCTGCATTTCTGCTCAAACCTTTATTATTTCTTCTGGTGACTGTAGGTTTTTTTTTTTTTTTTTTTTTTGCTGCTCTTTTTCTAATTGCTGGAGATGTTGGTTTAAAGTGCTGATTGATTTTGGCTCTTTCTTCTTTTTTTGATGTGTGTATTTATTGCTATAAATTGGCCTCTGATCACTGCTTTTGCTATGTCCCAAAGATTTTGGTATGTTGTGTTTTCATTCTCAATTGATTCAAGGAATTTTTGAATTTCATCTTCTATTTCTTATCTTACCCAGTTGTTTTTGAGAAGGGTGTTGTTCAATTCCATGTGTTTGCTCTTTTTCCAGTGATCTTCCTATTGTTGATTTCCAATTTCATAGTATTCTGATCTGAGAAGATGCTTTGCAGTATTTCAGTGTTTTTAAATTTATTAAGGCTTGCTTCGTGGGCCTAACATATGGTCTATTATTAAGAATGTTCCATGTGCACTGGAAAAGAATGTATATTGTGCTGTTGTTGGGTGAAATGCTCTGTAGATGTCTATCAGATCAAGCTGGTGGATTGTATTGTTTAGCTCTTCTGTGTCTGTTGAGTTTCTTTCTTGTTCTTATTCTGTGATTGAAAGTGGTGTATTAAAGTTTCCCACTATGACTGTGGAGTGATCTATTTGCCTTTTCAACTCCTTTAAAGTCTGATTTGTGTATTTTGGGGCTCTTTCATTGGGTCCATAGGTATTTATTATGGTTTTATCTTCTTGTTTAATTGATCCTTTAATCATTATGTGATGTCCTTCCTCGTCTTGCATGGTGGATTTTGTCTTAAAGTCAACTTGATCAGAAATTAATACTGCCACTCCTGCTCATTTACTGTTGCCATTTGCTTGATATACCCTTTTCCTACCTTTGATTTTTAGTCCATTTTTGCCTTTGTCTCTAAGGTGTGTCTCCTGTAGATAGCATATTGATGGGTTTTGTTTTTTTATCCAGTCTGCAACTCTCCATCTCTTGAGTGGTGCATTTAATCCATTAACATTCATGTAATTATCAACAAGTGTGAACCAGTTGCTGTCATTTTTTTTTTTTTTTTTTTTTTCATGGTCTCCCTGCTTTCTTTTTTCCATGTAATTTTCTGTGCTGAACTTATTATGTTTGGGAATCATGTTACCATTTCCTTTCTTCCTATTGTTTTAGTATTTGCTAAATATTTGTGCTTGTTCTCTTTTTTATTGTGATGTGAAGGTTTATCATTTTTCCTTGAGGTTATCCTGTGATGTATAATTTTCTTCCTGACTTTAGAACAGTCCATTCTATCTTGCAACTCTCTTGACTTCTTCACCATTTAGAACTTCTGTAACTATAGTATTTTTCCCCTCTTTTTCGTTTGTAGTTGTCCTCATTTGCCAGTTGATGCCTCTGGTTCCCTATTTACAATCTTGTAAGCTTATTTTACTTGGATACTTCCATAGCTGTGATGGTTTCTGGGTTCCGTCATCTTGTGTATTTTCTTTTGGGGTCTACCCCATTTGGGGTTCATCTGAACTTCCTGAATGGATATATTCTGATCTTTCATCATACCAGGGAACTTCTCTTCCAACAAATCTTGGACAGTTTTCTCAATGGTTTTCTTTTTCCCTTCCTCTTCTGGAATTCTGATTACATGTAGGTTATTCCTTTTGATGGTATCCCACATGAACCTTAGGTTTTCTTCATTTTTTTTTTATCTTTTTTCTGATTAATCCTTTTCCAAAGAAGTTTTCAGGTATTTGTCTTAATCTCATTAATTCTGTGTTCCATTGATTCAATTCTACTCCTTTGCCCCTTCAATGTGTTATCAATTTCTGAAAATTTAGTATTAATCTTCTGGATTTCTACCTGTAACTTCTGAATCATTTCTAATTTTTCATTTATTTTGTCATTTTGTTCTTGTATTTTCTTCTGAAATTGTTCTAGGGTTTTGTGTGTGTTTTCCTTAATTTTGTCAGTGTTTTACTGATCTGTCTCTCAATCCTTTGAAGATACGTAAATATAATTCTTCTGAATTCCTTATCAGGGAGTTCCAATGCTGCTTCTTTCTCCGGGATGTGTTCGGGGTCTGTATCCTGCTCCCTTGTTTCTACCACTTTATCTAGCTTCTTTGTGTGGACTGTGATGGTCTGTTATCTCTGATACATTGTGATGATGTTGTATTTTGATCTCTGTTAACTGTTTGTGAAGAGCAGCTATGGGTGAGTCAGGATCTTCTTGGTGGTCTTTTATTGTTGGCTGGTTGCTGGTTCTCACTAAGTAAGTGAAGCTGCAGGAGGTGTGGGTGTAGTTGTGTCATATGGGAATGGTTGCTGTTTCTCCCTCAGACAAAAACAACAATTGAAAAACCATCAAAAAAGTAAAAGCAAGTGGATCAAAAAACATACATGAACACACATGAATAATCACCAAAAAGAAAAAGAAAGATACCCCACAATATCTGGAAAAGGGTCATAAGATTAAAGAAGTAGAGTAGGAGATAATGAAGAAAAAAATGGGAAAACTGCAAGAAGAAAAACAAGGAATGGGGTTAACCACAAGAAAGAAAAAAATTGGGAAGCAGGAACAAGGGAGAGAAAGCTGAAAACTAGAACCTAGGAAGGAAGTCTAAAGAATTATAATAAAAGAATAAATAAAAAATAATAATTTTAAAACAGAAAAAAACAAACAAACTAAAAACAAAGTAAAAAAAAAACTCTGGGCAGGGTGGGAAAGGGCACCCAGGCTCCGTCCGAGCACACAGACTGGGATGGAATTCCTGTCAGCCCAGAAAGTGGGTGGGATAGCCGCACCTCCATTCACCAAGAGGGTGTGGGGTATGAAAGTAACAAGGGGAACATCACACCTTTCCAGTCGCTCTAGTTTGGGATTTCCTTGTGGTTCTCCGCAAGTGGAGCCTATTAAGTCTCTGGAATCTGGGAGAACACTGTCACTTTAAATATCCCAAATGTTTTAACCCCTTGTGAACATTCAAAATGGTCACACCCTTTGGACAGGCAAAAGTCCACAGCTCAGCTGCTTCCCCATTATTTACCAGCCATCAGTGCAATCCTCCATGCAGCCCCTGTCTAGCAGGGCCAATTTTTAGACTAATTCTTGGGTCCTAACACCAGTCAGCAATATCCAAGCTGTCTGTGCCATCAGGATCATTGACAGAATGCAGCTCCGTATGTCTCCTTTTTTGATATTTTCATGCAGATTCTTATACTAGTTGGAGTTTAGTCCACTTCTATATCCTTCCCTTCAATGTTCAGGGCTCCAGGATTATCTTCTGTACCTGTGTTAACTGGTTCCCCTTTTCTTTGTTAAAGAGGGTCTGTGCAGTCTGTCTGCCTGGTCTGCCATCTTACTGGAACTCCCAATTCACTTTTTCATCTTTTCTCTAAAAGAACAGCTGTCAAACAGAGATAGATCTAGTCCTCCAAGGGGACATTTGTCAATGTTTAGAGACATTTTGTATGTTACAGATGAGGGGGTGCTACTGACAGTTACAGAAACTGTTAAACATCCTACAAGCACAGGACAGTCCCCTACAACAAATAATTATCTAGCCCAAATGTCAATAGTATCAACACTGAGACTGCTCTTTTGAAACATCTCAAGAATATTGCTCATACTGATTTTACTGCAACATATCTAAGAACTTTTTTTGTTGCTCTTTCTTCTTCAGAAAGTAAATATAGAAAAACCATTAAAGTAATTTACCCCACTGAAGTTCCCAAGAGGAAACCAAAGAAAGCAAGAACAAGTTGCAAAAATTTGCTGTAAAAACTGAAACAGTAACCAACTGCTAGTGTTATGAAGAATGGGGAGGCCGGGTAGAGGGGCGGGAGTTTCACATCCAAGAGTATTTGTCTAATCACCAATCTCAATTTAAGAAACAGACATGTTTATTGCCAAGTCAAGATAAACTAGTCAAATGTCTTACCTATAGCTCTCCCTAACACATCTTTCCGCAGCCACGTAGTCATTTCTGTGTAGATGAACTAGGACTTGAGCGATTGTTTTCTAAAACAAAAGAGGTGGTTACAGCCCAAATTTATATCTATGTAATACAGTTAATTCCTAGCAGTAATAAAAACACCTGGAATTTAACATTAGAGTCTTGCGTTGTATACAGAGAGATTTATTAATTCTGAAGTAACTTCTATAGGAAACCTGAAGGAAAATAATCTAGAAGAGTACTTTTCAAACTCTAATGTGTATTCAAATCATCCAGGATCTTGTCAAAATGAAGAATTCAATTCAGTCACTTCTAACAAGCTCCCAGGTAGCACTCTTAAACTAGTCCGAGGACCACACTTTGAGTGATAAAGCCTTAGAAAAACATACCCCACATTTTGAAGAAAATTTCCTTCAAATTTGTATTTAGATTTCATCTTTAAAAGGGAATAAAAAAGAGGGTAGGAGGTCAAAACTCTACAATTACACTTTGGAATTCTTAGAGATAATAGGAAAAAAAAATGTATGAATAAAAACTATGGATAAGAGAAACAACATCATTTATATGCCAATAATAAAAATAGTAATAAAATAAAGGGTATTACTGTTACAACCTTATCAGAAGAAGAACTCTTCAGAAACTATTTTTCAATCTATTTTATCTTTATATTTCAGATAACTTCTATTGATCTATTTTCAAGTTCATTGAGTCATCTTCTGTCATCTCTATTATGAGAATGAACCTATCCAGTATTTTATTTTAAATGTATTTTTCAGTTTTAAAATCTCCATTTAGTTTTCATTTTTATAGTTTCAATCTTTCCATTCATTTCAACTGTGTTTACCTTTACCTTGTGAGCCATTGTAACAGATGCTTTGAAGTCTTTATTTAAAAATTCTAACATATGGGTCATCCAACATTTAAAAATTGGTCTAATATTCTTTTTTCTCTGTGTGTATATCCAGTAATTTTGGATTATATCCTGGACATTTTTGAATTTTACACTAAATAAACCCACCCACTGCCAATGAGTCAATTCCAACTCATAGTGACCCTACAGGACAGAGCAGAACTGCTCTGGTTTCCAAGGTTGTAAATCTTTAGAGAAGCACACTGGCTCATCTTTCTCCTACAGAGCAGCTGGTAGCTTAGAACTACCAACCTTATCTCACCAGCCACTCTATGGGAGAAAGATGAGGTGGTCAGCTTCTACAAAGATTTACAGCCTTGGAAAACCTATGGGGAAGTTCTACTCTGTCCTATAGGATTACTATGAATTGTAATTGACTCCATGGCAGCTGGCTTTGCATTTGGTCTCTTAATCAGCCTTCATGTATGGTCTCACTTTTGTTGGGTAGTGGTTCTAATCTTAGTTCTAAAACTTTGCTATGCTGCTTTGGGTCTGTCTTACACATGAGATTTTGGCAGCAATTTAAATCTTGTGTCAGTTCTCAAACTTCTGTACCCTATTTGGTTCTGTCTTATGCATGTATCATTCAGAAGTTAGTCTGGAACATGGGTAGTGGTTTAAAATCTTATCTCAACTCTCAAAGCCTTTGCTATGGTTTAGTGAGGCGTAAACCCAAGATTTATGTGGACATACAAACTTTTCCCCTTTTCAGTTCCTTCCTTTCTATTTCCTTTGTACTCTCAGCTCTCTCCTAGTTCCTCTGGACAAAGGGATTAGATCTCTTTTGGTGTTTTAAATGCTGTAGCTCTGATACATCTAAAGTTCACTAATTGCTGCCATAGCTCTAGAACTAGAGCCTATCCTTGAGTAAAGATAGGAAAGAAAGCAGGGGCGGGGGGGGGGGGGGGGGAAGGAGCCTCCTTTCCTAGTTCCTCTGTTAGAAAGATGGGGTTTCTTTTGGAGTTTTAGCTGCTAGAACCTCTGCTGTCCAGCTCCATAACTGGAAGTTTTTCTGAAGGTAATGCCACAGAAGAAAATAGAAGGAAAAAAATCTAGGAAACTCATTCCCATATTGGATGCTTCTCCAAATTTTCACTCCTCTCCACAGTTCCCCTGCTTTAATTACTTTCCAGAGTTCCTTGGTAGATGCCTTTTGTATTTAGTCCACAAGTTTTAGTTGTAACCAGCAGGAGAGAGACAAACACTAATAGGCTTATTCTATCTCAGTCAAAAATGGAGGCATACAAAGTACTATTTACAAAAATATAAAAATATACATTGAATCCTCTCTTAGGTATTTATTCACAACAATATGAAAAATTATTGAATGTAAAGCTGAAAATAAGACTTTTAAAGAATACCTTGTAACAAGTTGGATAATTCTCAATTTCCTTATAAATATTTTTTTCTTTCTGAATAGAGAGTGCTGCTTCATCAAACCTGAGGACAAAACAAAGAAATATAAAATAAGGCAGGTATAAACAATTTATAGCAGTAGTGACTGTAGTAGTGTATTTGATATTACAGATTTTTGAGAAACAAAGAAGACATCAAGCATTTTAGCAATTGCTCTATAATGGTCTGCTTATCTGACTTGTCTTTTAAATACCCAACTCTCCATCTTAGGCATCAAGATGACAGACAAAGCAAAAAAACCTAAGGATGTGTTTCTTCAAATGGGGATCTTTAACTTTAGTAAGGGTCCTCATCAGCAAGTGATCAAATTCAAAAAACTTTGTGAAATAGATTAGAGACAACTCTAGATGTAATTACTCTAGATATATTTCCTTCAATTGACTGGTCATACAGAAGACTCATGAACACTCCACCCCGGCTGAAGACTTATTTCCCCCACCTTTGCTCTCATCATTACCTACTCTACTCTACTCCTCTTCTACCTCAGTTACTCGCAGCAAGTTCTACCATGCCAATGGAGGGAAGACAAATTAGAGGGATAAAACGTCCTTCCTGCTACCTTTAATATTCAACATTCATTGTTCTTCTATCCACTCTCACATGTTTTCCTTTTCTTCTATTCCATACAGAAAGCAGAATAAAGAAAGAGGTCACCCAAAATTTTCTCTCAAACCCTCTAAAATCCTCCCCTTTTCCCCTCTGTAGACCCCATTCTATAGTTTCCTAGTCAGATCATCATCTCCCTGTTAGATTCTATTATTCTCTTAATTCCAGGGCTCCCTTACTACCACCTAACTCTTGACTGCATGAATTTTGCAGTCTTTATCCATTTCCTTCATCACAATGTACAGTCAGACAACTCCAGTGGCTTAGCACGGGGAAGTTCACACAACTGAACAGTTTAAAAAGGCAAAGAGTCTGCACCATTAGAGATACAGAGGGAAGAGAGGTGTTGCTGTCACCCAAATTAAAAATGTTGTTGTTATTGATGTTATGTGCCGTCGAGTCGGACCCGACTCATAGCGACCCCTCCTTGGGTTTCCGAGGCAGTATCACTACGGAAGTAGATTGCTCAACCTTCCTTCCGAGGAGTGCTGGTGGATTTGAACCACCAGCCTTCTGGTTAGCAGTCAAATGCCTTAGGCACTATGCTACCAGAGCTCCTACAAAAATTTTTATTGTATGTTTATAATTTTGTTTTAAAAGATTTGCATATATATACATGCATAATGGCTTAGTTTATGATAATACTGTTATTCACACTGTGATCTAAACAGAATTTAAGTGGGGCTACTGGCAACCAAAAAACCAAACTCACTGCTATCGAGTCAATTCTGACTCATAGCGACCCTTACTGTGTTTGCAAGGCTGTAAATCTTTACTGAAGCAGACTGCCTCATCCTTCTGCAGAGTGACAGGTGAGTTCAAACCTCCAACCTTTTGGTTACCAGTCAATACCTTAACCACTACACCACCAGAGCTCCTTGCCTTGGCAGCCTAGCGACTCAAAAAATAACGTTCATTGTAGAAATGCATTCTGAATTTCCAAAGATCAACTTAAATTCCTAGAAAAAAGACAGTTTATAAGTTGGTTTGGTAGTAGAATTCTAATATAGTCCCCAAGATACCCACCCACTCATATACACTTCCTGTATAACTTCACCTTGAATGGGGCACAACCTCTGAATATGATGGGCTGTCACTCCAATGATTAGGATACCAACCAATCAGTTGATTCTGAGCTAAACAAAAGGGAGATTTAGCTAGATGGCCTGATTTAATCAGATGAATCCTTAAAAGGGACTGGGCCCTTCCTGAAGTTAGGGAGACTATAAGTTATACTCCTGGTAACCTCAAAAAAGAAGGAAACTACCATGCTGTCAGCTGCCTATGGGGGCAAAGGACAAGGAACTACACTACAGGAGGCCTTTAAGAGCTGAGAATGGTCCCTGGATAAAAGGTAGCAAGAAAGTGGAGATCTCAGGCATACAGTTACAAGGAAATGAATTCAGCCAACAGCAGTGAGGTTAGAAGAAGACCCTGAACCTTAGATGAGATCACAGCCCCATCCAACATCTTGATTTTGCATTGTGAGGCCAGAGCAGAGAACTCAGTGATGCTGTGCCCGGACTCCTGACCTATAGAAACTGTGAATAAACAGGTATTATTTCAAGCTGCTAGGTTTATGGTAATCTGTTATGTAAAAATAGCAAACTAATACAGTGGGGACTACCTGCATCTATATCATTTATAACTATAGCCATGAATTTACAACAGAGCATGTACTATAAAATAATTTAAACCAGAACGTTCTGTGAACATAATGTGCAGATTATATCTAATAGGAATGTGTTTTGGTTACCCAGTGCCACTCTGACAGGAATATACAACAAATGGGATGACTTTAACAAACAAGAGTTTCTCTTACTGTATGAAGGCTTTAAGTCCAAGTTCAAAGTGCCAAGGTCTAGGGGCTGGGTGAAAGCCCCTCAACCTTGAGCTTTAGTTCTGCCTCCTACTCTAAGCCAACTGTAGCTGGAGGCTTTTCTTCACTCAGATAGCTGCAGGCTGCTGAAGCTGATAAACCCAAGGTCAACAAGTACAAAGGCACAGTCCTGATATTAACAAACAACACAGTAAGCCACTTATTCAAGTCCAGAAGAAGTCCCAAGATTGGCAGGGCATGGCAGGCTGCTGAATAATGACTTGGCTACATACAGGATTCAAGCTTGCCAAAAAAGCTGTAGATCTTCATCAAAGATGCTTCTTATATACTGGAAACAGACCACATCCCTAAAGCAGCTACTCAGCTGCTCCAGCAGATTCCACCATGGAACTGACTGCCAATCTCACCATGGGGAATAACTTACATCCAGCTGCCCAGTCATTCAACCAGGCCCAGCCAAGTTGACAACCACTTTAACTACCACAGAATCTCAGTGTTTTAAGCTTTTAATGTATTTGGCGGAAAAAGGTACATTCTTCACACACCATTATTTATTTCCTTGACATAAAAATAGCATTTCCATGTGCTAACAGCTACCTAGCAAAAAGTCATCCAAGAGAAGTGTTGTGCACTTATATGGGTTTGGTGATCTCCTTCTTTGAAGAATCCAGCCAATAAGACACTATGGAGCAGTTCTACTCTTTAACATGCATGGTTGCCATGAATCTGAATCAATTTGATGGCAAAGGGTTTGGTTATTGGAGTCACAAAGGTTAATTTTGCTAAAGTCCATGAAAATGAAATACAAAAACATCTTTTTCAAATGTCTCCAGAAATTATTCATTACTTGTTATAATGAAACACAGATGACTTCAACTTTCCCATCAAGGAATTTCTAAATACACCTAACAAAATAAAATGTATCTGGTTTTGCTGAAAAGAGAGTAAGTATATCTTCTTGCATTTCGAAAAAGAATTAGACTCATATAAAACAAAATATAAACTTCACAGAAATTATGTGGACCTCACTCATTCCCAGCTTTCGTTCCTCTGACATCTTCCTCACAATGATGTAAAACAACTCCTCTGGCCTTAACTATCTCCTTAACTCCAAAATATACTCTCAACTCCCTATAAAACATTTCAGCCTTTTAAACATTCCCAACTAATCTCATTATTATTTGATAAACCAGTGTTTTTTATTCCTCACTTCAGTTATTAAATGATTTACAGTGACCAGGACACAGTTACTCAAGACAGAAACCTAGTGATTACCTTCAATTAGTACAAAATCCCTCCCATTCCCCAAACATATACACACACACAGTCCTCCTTGCATTTAGAATCTAGAGAAGTCTCAACCCATTTGCAGGGAAGAAATACTTTTCATTGCTAAAACTAGTCTTATAAGCTGGGGGAGGGAATTAGTTATGAAGTAGGATTCTCCTCTTTTTTGGGAAACAGCAGAGCTCTGAGAAGGTGCTCTGGATTTGGGTTCACTAAGAATTAACCACAGGGTGTCTAACCTGCTCAGCTGCTTCAAATCTTCCCTAGAAGGACCAGGGATGCAAACCTTACCTATAAGTTATGATCAACTTGTTGAAAAGGCCTTTTCTAAGAGTGAGCAAGGGCAGTGGTCAAGTACTAATTTTAAGGTCATCCTAGAGATTACTAAAATGAAATTCTGAATCATTTCTCAATTACGAGTCTCTAGAAATAAAGGAAAAGCATGAGACAAATATAAAGAGCTCTGATGGTGAATGGTTTAAGCATTTGGCTGTCAAGTGAAAGGTCTGCAGTTCAAATCCACAAGCCATTCCACAGGAGAAAGACCAGGCAATGTGCTCACATAAAGATTACAGCCTAGAAAACACTATGGGGCCATTCTACTCTGTCACTTGGGGTTTCTGTATTGAAAATTAACCCAACAGCACCAAATGACAATACAAATATACCAAACAGATCATTTAATTGTGCTATTCTATGATAGACCTAAGGAGCTCAGTGGCTTGGTGCCTAAGGCATTAGACTGCTAACCAGAAAGCTGGCAGTTCAAAACCCACCAGCCACTCCATGGAAGGAAGGCTGGGCAATCTACTTCCATAAATATTTACTGCCTCAGAAACCCAAAGGGGGTTGCTATGAGTCGGAATTAACTCAACGACAATGAATTTCTTTTTTTTTTTTTGGTTTATGATATGACCTAAACCATTAAGTAATGATTACATCTTATAGTCTCACATTCATGTAAAATTTAAATGTAGTATATAGGAGCTCTGGTGGTATAGTGCCTAAGGCATTTGACTGCTAACCAGAAGCCTGGCGGTTCAAACCTACCAGCCTCTCCTTGGAAGGAAGATTGGGCAGTCTACTTCTATAGTGATACTGCCTTGGAAACCCAAGGAGGGGTCGCTATGAGTCAGATCTGACTTGAAGGCAGGTGAGCATTAACTTAATATAAGAGGCATGAAATTTAAATTTGCATGGGACATTATTAGCAGATGTTATTTTTCTAAAGCTTTAAATTAACACCTGTTTTAGTTCTTTAGGAAACGGATAGCCTCCAACCAGATTATAA